TAGTTACAAGCGTCGTGGTGATCCGTCTTGGGAAGTTGGTCCCAAGCCTGATCTTAAGGGGGGGGGGGCTTTTGTAGCGCTTGTAGTAGGAAAAATAGGTGGGTTGTAGTGGCGCCATCTAGTGCTCAAGTGGGTTAGCGAATATAGGGTCAAGGCGGAAAGTAAATGCGCTAACAGGTTCAAATGTCAACTCTCTCTTATGCCGTGGACCTGTTAGAGGACTTGGCGCCAGAACGCTAGCGTCCATCTCGTCAATTCCCTCTATAAAGTCGATCGAGCCGGTTGTTTAGTGGCCGCAATAAGGGCGAAAATTTGCTCCCCGGTACTGGTTATTAAGTTTCTATTTGTTACTGTGATTGTGCCGAGTTTGAAGAGGGTGAAGGTTGTGTCGACCACCGGAAAACCCAGACAGGGGAAAGCAATGGGGAGAAAAGAAGTCAAGAAATCTTTTTCCTTAGTCTTGGCGCTTAACAAAAAACTCCACTAAAAACTGTGTTGAGTTGCGGATGCAACCAGTTAAAGCCGGCAAGCAAGCAGCAGCAGCAGAAAACGAAATTAAAAGCGCATTTATTGGTTGTTGTTGGCTGCAACTAAAACGCGCTCGGCAGAGCGGAGAGGCGAGCGCAGAGATATCCAGTCGAGCTGGATTTAGTGTCGAACAGCCAGGCGTCGGCATATATACCGGCGGGTGCACCGAGGAGTGCATAAATACGTGTGCTGTAGTGTATGATTCCCGTTCCCTAACGTCCCCAACACCTCCCACCATCGGTAGAAGAAGAGGCCAGAACATAACCGCGGGAGCCAAGTTTTGATCGTTTCTGGACAAAAGTTTAAGGCGGCGGAAGAAAGAACAGTTTTTTTCTAGTCTTCTCTTCACCCTAAAGAAGGAAGAGGAGGAAGGCAGGAGTGGAGAAATGAGAAGACAGTAGAATTAAGTGAAGTGTTGAAAGGGAAAAAAAAAATATATAGTTTAATAATTGAGTTAAATTAGGGTTAGGGAGTTTTGTGCAATTCCGTTAGTGCTGGCCCTCGTCTTCACCACCGATCCATGCTAATATGTTTCCCGGCCCAATACTTTGCAATTTTTCTCCACCCACAGCATCCTAGGTGTTCGTCGAGGAAAGCGCTTTCGTCGATGGAGCAACGAGCTGCATAAAAGGTATGAGTGGAAATTTGTTTCATTATTACTCAGGTCCGATCAAAAGCGGCAAACAATGCATAGGTCCGTTAACTGAGTCGAAGGTTTAGCATCGATCGGCGCGGAGAAAAAGAACAGCAATAGAGACGGACGTTTCACTCGGAGTTGAGTGCTTTTTTTCTCGTCTGCTTTGTGGGTCTCTTTTTGTTTGCTGGCAGTAGGGATAAAGCTCAAGCGGAGCGCAAATTTTTTTTTGTATTGATCTTTTTTATTTATGTTTAATCATTTATATTTATTTGCACTTTTATCTTCATTGTTTTATTTACGTTTATTTATATTTACCTGTATTTATATTCTTTTTTTTTTTTGATATGGGAATCAATAATCATTAGTTCGTAAATAAATTTTATAATGTGCTAGTAGCAAATTTGTATTTGACAATACCGCCACTACCGCCATGCCCTAGAAGAGTTGCCCTAAAGAAGGGGCCATTCGGATGCGGGCCAGGGGGCAGAATGGCCATCGGTAGGGTGGGCATGTTACGCCTCATCAACACCTGAGGTCGTAGTAGGAGAACCAGCAGGTGCAGCGGAGTAGTTCCATTCCCTTTAGTGTTGTTTGTTGGTCGGAAGTAAGTGGGATTCTCTATCCCGGTTTTCGCTTGTCCCTAGCACGCAACTTATTTAGGATATTATAGTGAAAAAAGGCCAATCATGGGAGGGGAGCAAGATCACCACCCTCCTAGCCGACGAGCCTGAGCCGGAATATACAGCGTGCTCCTCTCTCTCCCATGCCCAACACCGCGCCTGAGAATAATGAGTTGGAATGCGATTCGTTACACACGATATACACGGATATCTCGGTAGAACCTCCAAATGTTATGAGCTGTCGGGCTTTTCCAACTGCTTGAATAATTTCCAAAAAAAAAATCATAACGCGAAATCGCTTACACTCAACAAATGTTGGCTTTATTCTCGACAAGCGACAAATTCAATCCGTGTGTTTTATGGCGAAGGGTTACTGAACATATATCTACTTCCCAAGGGTCGTCGGACTATATTATTCCGTTCCGTTTGCTCTCACGGCTTGGACTCCCCCGCTCTCAAGAGCAATGCAACTCACTCAGCCCGCTCTACGCTATGCACTCGGGCTTGATCTACGATCAGTGAGCGAACGTTTGATTTACTAAAATGCTTATTTTATTAACTTAACATGTATAATGTTTCATCCAAATAGGATGAGGGTTAACCACCAATTGAACAACCTTTATGGAAATTAAAATTCGAATCTTTTAAGGTGTGTTTTATGGGTGTATTAAATCAAATCGCTGCATAAATTGTGAGCGATTTTGATTCCGCTGAAAAATCGGTGTGTGGCACGGCGGAATGGAATTGAGGTGATTTTCCAGCGGAAGTGATTTCTGTGGCACCCCTTTATATATTTGAATTTAAAACATTGATTCGATTTAGGAGAAGCAGTCACAAATGACCAGGCTTCAGTGTTTTCAAAACAGATATCCATTCCAATAAATTATCCTCGTCAATACCTCATTATCATCATCCATGTCCAGCAACATGATTCGATTTTGTAAGAATATAATTTGAAGCTAAATCACATTCACAACCACTAAAATATTATAAATATTAATTTTCATTTTAAAAGTGAAAAAATTTTCCGCCGCACCAAATTGAATGCATAAGCTATTTTTCATGGATGGTGGACGGTAGATGGTGGATGGTGCCAGTGTGAATCGGGATTCCACATCTTTCAAAAATTCCCACCATTCCCCCGGGATGGGCCCACTGTGCAAAGGGCATTAGAGGAAATACCGCCACTAAAACGCAAAAATGGGGTGATGTCGTCTTCGTCGCATGGAACAACGGATTCACTTAAAGACACCAATCAGGAGAATATAAATATTGCAAGCCTCTTGCACAGGAACAATTGAACGATTTGGTGACGATCCGTTATCTTGCTAAAAGTAAAGCCGAGTTTCACATTTCCGAAAAATTCGGTTAATTGAAAAGCAGATTTTGGTTGTCGTAATAACTATCTCCGCGATTAATTATTTATTCATATTTTTTATTATTTGCTTTATTTATTCATAATTATTCATATTTATTTATAACTAGCAGACCCGCGCGTTTCGCTGCTTACTAATTTAATGTTTAGGAATTCATCGAAATTAAACAATGACAATTTTGATGTTATAACATATTTCATTTATTCCAATGCTTTGTGATAGACAATATTCTTTGTTTTGCCGTCGGTACAATGAATAATTAATGCCGAAGGTTTGCCTACTCGTGAGCACGCTACATATAGTTGACCATGTGAAAATACCGGATGCTCCAAATGTAAACAACAAATTTGCAACGACTGTCGTTCTGATTTATTAATAGTCATAGCAAAAGCAAGACGAATCGGAAATTGTAGTCGTTTGAATTCAAATGGCGTGTCAGTCGGAATCATAGGAATTCTCGGAATTAAAACGTGTTCACCACAAAATTTCTCAGTCAAAATAGTTGCTTCAAGTAAATTAGTCATAACTTTTTTCACAGCAAGTCTTGTACCATTTCAAAGTCATGGTGGGTTATGATTCCGCAGCATAATTATGGTGACTCCAACTTCTAGTTGTAAATAGTATGGCGGCAATCCAGGAAAGTCCAATGAATTTAGAAATTCGACTGGATAATTTACAACATCATCTTGATTGATAGTTCTATCAATCGAACTATACGCAACCATTTCTCCTAGGATGGAATTCAAAATAGATGCGTTGTTCCAGTCATGATTTCTATAATTTTGTACAATATTTGGAAACACACTCTGAATCAAGTATTCCTTCGATGACACAAAAGTGCAAAAATTATTTGGAAGCGTTATGAAGCCAGAATTGTCAACGGGAAGTATGCCATTACCAATGTCTAACAGTTGTCTGGAAAACAAGTCTGCTGAAGCATCGTTTTGCAATTGAGCACGTACATTTGTAGTCAATCTATTATATGATTTCAAACACGCATTAATTTCATCAGCAGCAGTTCCTAGTTTGACTACAGGCAATGCTTGCCTGAAATCACCTCCTAACAATATCAATGCACCACCAAACAAACAAATTATCTCCACGAATATCTTTCAACGTACGTGGGCGCCGTGCGACCACCATCCAATAATGTGGCAGCGCTGCCAGACGAAGCCAAAGCCAATCCGATTCTACCCAGCAAGGTAGGAAAGGGCCCCGATGCAAAAAAAAAATTTGAGCCCAATCTAAAGTCAGATACTTTATAATACAGAGGGTTTTGTGTGAGCTTTATGGATTAATAACTTTGGTATTAGGTCATGAGGTAAATCGAATTATTTATTTGAAAATGTATGTGTTCAAAAAGATTTATTGTACATGTTCGGGCCAGCGGCTACTTAAGCGTCTATCATAATATTAAATGTAGCTGTAACTAGTTGTATAAGAGTATCGAAACCTAAGCTTATGTATGTCCCCAGCGTTCGGCAGTGCTGCTGCGCTCTCCCTGTTAAAGGGCGCTCTGCACCTGCTGCGTCGGCTCTTGCATTGATCGGCCGTCGTGGCCCAAGTAGTTCTATGCTAATCTCTCGCCGCATAGGTTGCATACAATCATTGCATACAACAATCAGAACTCAATCAGAATAGACGTGCAAGTTACACTCTCCGTCAACAAGTGTTTTTTTCGGCGAAACCTGCAAACAACAACACATCAGCTGCTGGTCAATACAGATATAAGGTGCTTACCAACATCAGAGCACTGTCAGCGGATCACCACCGGCTGGCCCGTGGGCTTATTATTGTTTTTAAAAAACTGGTCATCGAGTAACCCGAAAGTAGCTCAAACTTGGCAAAGGAAGGCACGGAAAAAGCGGGAAACGAAATTTTTCACTTAATACTGAGTGGGAAACGTGAGTACGAACGTAAACAACGAAAACAACAGCGCTAGAGGTGACATTACACAGCTGTTAGCGATCGATCTGCCACGCATATTGCAAAAGCTCGCGCTAGAGGGCGCCCACCAATAGTGCACCAACATTCTGTGTAGCCTCGCCTCTGTTAAAGCACATAATCAAAACAATGCAGCCTGTCTCAAAACGTCTGCGTGAAAATACTGGAACAAATCTGAAGGGACCGCGTACATCAGAAACGCCTGCCCCGGAATTGGTTCAGCTTTTGAACCAACGATTTGAGGAGCAAGTCAGTCTCATTTCAACAAAGATGAATGAGGCAGAAGAGCGGCTGTTAAGTTTGCTAACAGGCAAGCTTAATAGTATGGCTGGTGAGATCCAGAATCTCACACAGAGAGTCCAGTTTCTAGAAAGTAGGCTGGGTGAGACTCAAAACCTTACAAAAAAGGTAGAGGATCTGGAAGCCCAGCTTTTGTTAAAACTAGATGCACAGGCTAAGGCCAATGTCGCATGCGACCTAAGGATCCATGGAGTTCCGTACGTCGAAGGTGAAAAGCTGAAACATATCTTCAACAACTTGTGCCTCAGCCTAAATCACACGCCTGCGCCTGCTATTAGGGATATCCATCGTATGAGGCCAAACAAAAATCTTTCCCACTCCATCGTTGATCATCATTGTCAAGCTGGAACGGGTGCGCGACAAAGCGGCATTACTGCGCAACATCGGTATGTACAGGCGGGAAACCAAGCAGCCCCTAACTCTGCAGTTACTCGGCCTAAACTCACCAGCCCCAGTATATGTCAACGAGCAGCTTACCAGGGAAAACTACCAGATTTTTAGAGAAGCTCTGAAAATGAAGAAGCATCGGAAGCTGCAATCCGTGTTTACGCGCAGGGGTATGGTTCACGTCAAAGTGACCCAAGAAAGTGAGATCTGGGAAGTTCTTAAAATTGAGGATCTGAGGGAGATGCAAGCTGCTACTGAGAGCCCTGCAGCTGGAGACGAGAATAGCTCGTTTCGTCAATAATATAACCATAGGCAAATTTTTCATGTTAGCTATAAGTATTACCCATCTAACCACCTTCCTGTATTTTATTTTTAAGTGGGCCCTTAACTGTACTTACTGTAATGAAATTTTTCGTTGTGTTAAAACACACTTGATATGGACGGTTCATTAGAACTAACAAATGTGAATACATCTCAGGTCCTCAGAATTCTGGTGAAGCAAAAATCGGGTCTGCAAATCTGCCATATCAATGCACAAAGCCTGACAAAAAAAATTGACGAATTCAGACATATGTTTATCGACTCTGGTGTGGATGTTATATGTGTGTCCGAGACTTGGTTTGTCCCCGACTTAAGTGACTCGTTAATTGAATGTAGAGGATACAATGTATTTCGTTCTGATCGTGTAGGGCATGCCGGGGGCGTTGCAATTTACATAAATAACAAGATATCCGCAAAAATCCTCTGTAAGCAAGGACCAGATAGTGCCATAGAATACTTATTTCTAACGATCACCATCAATAGAAGAAAGATGCTTCTTGGTTGCATATATCGACCAAATCGAAACATTGACTACTCAGACCTGACATCACTTATTACTGACATTTCCTTGACTTATACAGACGTAATCCTAGCAGGTGACTTTAATTGTGATATTCTTAGAGAATCCTCATTAGCAGATAGCATGTTGAGCCTTGACTTAAATATAGTGAACCACCAGCTCCCCACACACTTTACAAAAACAAGAAACACACTACTAGACCTATTCTTTGTCGACAGTACTGACAAAATTCTACTATATGACCAACTCACAGCACCAGGGTATTCAAAACATGACCTTATTTTCTTGACCTACGATTTTAATCCTGACTACGATAATTATGACACCTTTTACAGAGACTTCAAGAACATTGACCTTGAAAAACTACACACTGACATTAGCATCCTTGACTGGACGTCAATACATTATATGTTGTCTGTAAATTCTCAGCTTGCCCAACTTCAATCAAACATTGACTATCTTTACTGTGAACATGTACCTATTAAGAGAAAGACAGTCAAACGAACAGATAACTCATGGTTCAACCCGGAGATAAAGCTGGGTATCATCAAACGAAATGAGGCTTTTAAAAAATTTAAAAGATATAAGACTGAAAGCCACTTTAATATGTACAAATCATTAAGATCAAACGTAACTAAACTAATATACTCTGCTAAGACCGCCTTCTACTCGTCAAAGTTTAACAACGCTCTGTGTAGCAAGCAGAAATGGCAAGTGATTAAAAGTATAGGAATTGGCAAAAAAACAAGAAACTCACTAGTTGACATGGACGTAAATGAAGTTAACAAAAAATTTTTGCAATTAGTTGTACCGGACCCAACACCAACCCTGAACTTGACATCAGCGCCCTATAATTATACTGTTCCTAGCTTTAGTTTCTGTTGTGTTAGTCCTTGTGATGTTCTAGAATCCATTCATAAGATTAAATCAAATGCTACTGGCCTAGACGATATGAACCCGAAATTTTTGAGAATAATACTCCCTAGAATCATCATGCACGTTACTCACATTTTCAACACAGCCATTACCACATCAACGTTCCCGGAACAGTGGAAGGAGGCTAAAATAATCCCTATCCCAAAAGCAAACTCTGCAGAATATAGGCCAATATCCATACTCCCGACCCTGTCAAAAGCGTTCGAGACCTTGGTAGCTAAACAAATAAATTCATTCCTTACAGAGCACACATTACTAAACAACAATCAATCTGGATTCAGAACAAATAGAAGTTGCACAACTGCAATGATAAAAATTGTAGAGGATATCCGTGAAAGAATAGACGACGGAAATGTAACGTTCCTAACTCTTCTTGACTACACTAAAGCTTTTGACTCAGTTGACCATCGCATCCTCATCGCAAAGCTTCGCGAATCCTACAACTTCTCTGACTCTGCAGTACGGTTGCTATCATCCTATCTGCTAAATAGGAGCCAGGCTGTTGTTGCTGAAGGGAAAATGTCGTCCTTTGCCTATGTTAAGTGTGGTGTCCCACAGGGATCAGTACTTGGCCCGATATTGTTCTCCATTTATATAAATGATTTGCCAATAGTATTGTCCGACTGTAAAGTGCACATGTACGCCGATGACGTCCAATTATATGTTAGTCGACCGTTAAATCGAATAGATGAGTGTATAAATGTTACCAATAGAGAGCTTGAGAAAATTAGTGCGTGGGCAACCAAAAATCGTCTATGCCTCAATCCAACAAAGTCAAAATGCTTGATTATATACAAAAACAAGAAAAAAATAAATGAAACTATATTGAGACGTGTAGAAATATCAAACACTCCCATTAGCTACATAGAGAAGACAACTAATTTAGGCTTTATAATAAATAGTACTCTGTCGTGGGATGATCATGTGAGCAAAGCAGTTGGAAAAACATATGGGATCTTAAGGGCACTTAATATTACCAAGCAATTTATACCAGTTAGCATCCGGATGCAGATAGCAAAAGCATACCTAGTACCTGTACTCACTTATGGGATTGAGGCATTTGGAAACTGTGGCTACGAAAACAGGCAAAAGTTGAGCGTTTGCTTTAATAATATAGCTAGATACATATTTAGATTAAGGCGCAGCGACAGAATCTCTGCATTCTCATATAAAATTTTCGACATGACTCTTTTCAAATGGATTGACTATAAGATGCTTACGTTCCTACATAAAATAATCCTCACCAGACAACCCCAATATCTGTATGAAAAATTAAGATTTACCAATTCCGCAAGAACGAACAATATTATCACCATACGATATAGAACACTAAACTCTGAGAGACATTTCTTTGTGAATGTTATTCGCATATGGAATCATCTTCCACATCACATGAAAACAATACGAAACCTTTCACAATTCAAAACACAGTTAGGTGCCCACCTTACACTAGACTAAGATTTAAAAATCAAATTCAATTTAAAATAAAATAACACGAACATAAGCATAAGAAAACAAATCAATATATGTAACCACTTATTAGTATGTCATATTAAAAGATTAATTTAGATCTAAGTTTAATCCCAAACTAATGTGACACCTAGTGACTAGTGCTCTAATTATAAGCCCCTTGCTTGTAGCACTAGGAAATACAATAAACAAACAATACAATACTGAACCCCGCTTGTGAACATTTATCTGGCTGGGCAAAAGAGCGAGCAATTGGCTTCAGCTAGCCGCCGGTATAAATAAACATTATAACGTTTAAGTCAAAGTCTTTAACTGATTTGGATAAATATAGGTGCCAAAAAAGCTTGGCATCTCAAACATTGGTGACCCCGACGTGATTTAACTACAATTTTTAATCGCGTTTCGTTTAAAAACTATAAAAATCGAATAAGATATTCGTTGCTGTGCCGTTTAACGACCAACAAATACATTTTGTGCAAATAAGAACAGTTAAAGTGCAAGTTCAGTGCGACTGCAGCCGTCTAATATTCTGTTGCTTAATCGCCGATTCTCTCTTGCTCTGCGCCGCTGCAGCCGCGGCCCTTGACTTTCCGTGTCTTCTATTCTCGCTCCCGTTCTTTCGCCGTCGCTTAAGCGGTCTTACATTTTCCCTTGTTTCGTTGTATTACACCGGTTGGCATGGACAAAGAGCCGAATACAGGTGCGGGCGGAAATATTGCGATGGAGGAAAAAAGGCTGAGGCTTTACAAGCGTAAAGTTCAGTCTCTGCATGATCGGCTGCAGCGTCTTGGCCAGTCATTCTCGGGGAATAAAATCGACAATCTAAGTGCGGCTGATATAGATGTGCGCCTCGATATGTTGGCTGAAATGCGTGAGGAGTTCAACAAGTCCCATAATGAGTTGGAATCACTGGATGAAGACGAGATTGGAAGTGAGCTGCGTGAAACGTTCGATACTTTCTTCATTTCTTTGAAAGCCGAGCTGCTGGCGGCTCTCGAACTAGGACATTTGCGCGTAGCTGCTCATTCCACTAGCATGCCAAATAGCTCTGGAGGTCATACCATCATCATGGCTCACAAGCAGCGGCTTCCTGAGGTGAAGCTACCTAGCTTCTCCGGTGGCTATGTGGAATATGCGGATTTTATTGCCATGTTCAATGCGGTCATCGAAGGGGATGCAGATCTCAGTGAAATCTAGAAGTTCCAACATCTTCGCTCATGTCTCTCGGATGCGGCCCTGGATTCGGTTCAATCGTTGGAGCTCTCCAGTGCCAATTATCGTGTGGCTCTGGACATACTTAGCAGACGTTTTAATAATAAACGACTTGTTTTCCAGGCACACATCAAGGAGATTCTTGGGCTCAAGAAGGTAGATTCGCATTCTGCTAAAAGGCTTCGGGAGTTTTCGGACGCAGTTAACTTGCATACGCGCGCCCTGCAGACATTAGGAAGTGCTAAGGAGATATCTGGATGCATGATAATCCACATGCTGCTGCAAAAGCTAGATGAGAAGACCCAAACCAAATGGGAAGAGACTGCGTCATCGGACAGGATACCCACAGCTGGGGAATTCTACGATTTCCTGGAGAAGCGCTGCCAGAAGATGGAGAACGTGCAATACGCTATAGCGACACACGCTGGTAGCGCTCAGGTGGGAAAAAGCCAGTCTACACACCTTAAGAAAACCTTTGTTGCCTCTTACTCTTCCGCCGACCCGTCTGGATGCCCTTTCTGCCATTCAGCGGGCCACGGAATATACTCGTGCAGCATCGGACTCGTGCATGCACAGGTGGCCAGTGTAGAGTTTGCGGAAGGAGGCATCATACCTTGTTGCACTTCGACTCATCTATAGCGCAAAGCTCCCCAGCTGGTTCTCCTCCAGAACGAGCAGTACAACCAGGAGCTATTACGCCGTTTCAGGATTCTGCCAGCAGTGTGCCGTCTCATGCGTTTACCTCTCTTGCTGCCCAAGGTCTCCACTCCGATATTGTGCTGCTGGCCACAGCTGTTGTTTTGGTGAAGAATCGATCTGGCGTTTTGGTTCCTTGTCGCTCTATTCTAGATTCAGGATCTCAGCTTCATCTCGTTACCTCCAGGTTCGCCCAGCAGCTTCAGCTTAGGAGAACTCAATCGTCTGCCCTTGTTTCTGGTCTGGGCGATACTAGCGTGTCCACTGAGGGATCCACCGTCAGCATTTGCATGCAGTCTCGCACTTCGGACTATTCGACCACACTCACTGCTCTCATCGCACCCACAATCACAGATAGCCAACCAAGTCTGGCAGTTAATGTAGCCGATTGGAACATTCCCTCCGACATTCAGCTTGCCGATCCTGCATTCTGTAATCCTCAGCGAGTAGATCTCCTTATTGGCGCGAGCATATTCTATGACCTTCTCTGCGTAGGGCAAATCAAGCTCATAGATGGATTGCCTCTTCTGCAGGTGGATTGTATCTGGATCGTATCTGGTGGTGGACAGAGGGTATCAAGCTCGTCGCTTTTGGCAACCCAAAATTCTCCGGATTCGGAGGATAGAATGAATGCAAGGTTGGATCGAACTCTTCGTATGTTTTGGGAAGTTGTGAATTGTGCGGAGGCTAGCTTGAGTACAAAGGAAGAAGCGGATTGTGAGGCGCATTTCGTAAGCCACGGTTGCCATCAGGGGAGTACTCTGTTCGACTGCCTTTAAAGCATGATGCTGATCACTTGGGAGAGTCCTATACTCAGGCGTATCGACGATTTCTCAGCTTGGAGCGAAAACTGGATCGTAATCCCGCGCTCAAGGAGCGTTACTCAGCTTTTATGAAGGAGTATACTGATTTAAAGCATATGTCCAAAGTCCATCTTGACTCACGTAGCCTCTGCAAGTATTTTCTGCCTCATCACTGCGTTTTAAAGGAGGATAGTACCACGACAAAGCTCCGTGTCGTTTTCGATGGCTCTGCAGCTACATCAACTGGATGCTCCTTAAATGATGTGATGATAACAGGTCCTGTTATTCAGCCAACATTGTTTAACATACTGATCCGGTTCCGCACACATCCCGTCGCTCTCACTGGTGACATTTGTAAAATGTACCGCTGCGTAAAGGTATCCCCGCCCGACAATTTTCTCCAGTGTATCCTATGGCGAGATTCCATCCAGTCCGAGGTTCTGGTCTACACATTAGACACCGTCACATACGGTACGAGGGCTGCATCGTTTTTAGCGGTCCGCGCAATGAACCAGCTGGCCATCGACGAGGGTAATCCCTACCCTCTTGGCTCAGCTGCTCTGCAACAGTAGTTCTATGTTGATGATCTCATCTCATGCGGCAACTCGGTCGCAGAGGTCATGGAAAAGATGCGCCAAACTTCAAGTCTACTGTCTTGCGGTAACTTTAAGCTTAGAAAATGGTGCTCGGGTAACCAGGAGGTGCTTGATGGAATTCCGGAGGACGACGTGGAGAAATTTCTACGGTTTCATGATGGAAGCGACATTACCAAAACTCTTGGTTTAGCTTGGGACCCTGCGTCGGATCAGCTGCTGTTTGCCTTGTCCGCGCTGGACTCGAATTCAAGGCCCTCCAAGCGGTCCGTTTTGTCAACTATTGCGCGTTTCTACGACCCTCTTGGATTGATTAATCCTGTTATTGTCAGGTGCAAGATCTTTCTTCAGCAGCTTTGGAGAGAACATTTGGACTGGGATGAAAGCCTACCGACAGCGCTGCACTCAACTTGGATTGACCTGAGAAACAGTTTGGCAAGCATCTCTCGCATTTCCTTTCCTCGCGTTGTCCATAATTCCAGCACAATTGTAGAGGTTCATGGATTTTGTGATGCCAGCATGGAAGCATATGGTGCTTGCATATATGTCGTGTCCAGGCAAGGGGAGTCGTCGAGCAATGTTTTGTGCTCAAAGTCTCGAGTGGCGCCACTAAAATCATTGTCGATTCCAAAGCTGGAATTGAGTGGAGCCCATTTGCTTGCGAAGGTTAACTTAAAGGAGACGGGAATCTTCTCAGGTCAGTTTTACTGCTGGTCGGATTCGTCTACGGCGTTATCTTGGATTCGGGATGAGCCAGCCAAATTTCAGGTTTTCGTGGCCAATCGAGTGGCAACAATTCAGGAGTTGACGCAAGGCATGGAATGGCGCTATGTTCCCCACATTGTTGAATCCCGCTGATATCCTCTCCAGAGGCTCGCTTCCCAGCTACCTCATCCAGTCAGAGCTGTGGTTTCACGGCCCCTCGTTTTTGTTAGGTTCTAAGGATGAGTGGCCTGTATCTGCCGTTTCTGAAACTCCGACCATTGAGCTTCGCAAGCGTGTATTGCTGATCGCGTCTCCACATGCCGATCTCACGTCCGGATGCAAATTTGCTAATTCTTTCTTTGGCATGCAGCGCACATTCGCCTACATGCATAAATTCGTTCATCGTCTTAGGCATCCTGGACTCACGGTTTCTGACATACAGCAAGGAACGCATCTTCTTGTTCGACACGTTCAGCTGGCAAGTTTGTGGTCGGACAAAGGAGATTAGACGCAATGGGCAAGTCAGCAATTCTAGATCTATCAATTCGCTATCTCCGTTCATCGATCCGTTAGGTTTACTTCGAGTTGGAGGTCGTCTCGGCAACTCATCGCTCCCGTTTAATGCTCAGCACCCGCTTATTTTGCCCAAGGGACATCCCGTAACATCTGCAATGATAAGCTATTATCATCAACGGAACCTCCATGCCGGACCTCGCGCCTTGCTTGCTAAAATTCGATTAGAATATTGGCCTATTGGAGGAATCAAAGCCGTCTCGAAAGCGGTTAGCAAGTGTGTAAGATGCTTCAGAACGAGGCCGCGCATGGTTGAGCACATTATGGGGGACTTGCCTAAGGAGCGTCTGGAAGGATCGCGGGCCTTCGAAGTAACTGGAGGGGACTATTGTGGACCCTTTTTCTACCGATCAGAAATCCGCACGAGGCCTCCGATCAAGTGCTACATAAGCGTGTTTATTTGCTTCACATCTAAGGCCATACACATGGAGCTTGTTAAAGATCTGACCACCGCATCGTTCCTAGGCGCACTGAAACGTTTTACGTCCACTCGAGGAAGGCCAAGTCATATTTGGTCGGAAAATGCTACAAATTTCGTTGGCGCTAAGAATGAGCTTCTGGAGCTGAAGAAGCTTTTCCTGAGCGACTCGCACATGAAGGAAGTCCATGAATCCTGGCATTTCATCCCCCCGCGCTCTCCGCACTTTGGCGAATTGTGGGAAGCGGCCGTGAAGTCCGCAAAGTATCACCTGTACCGCTCAGTTGGGCCATCCATCCTTAGCTTCGACGAGCTCCGCACCTTGATCTGCCAGACGCGGCAATTGTTAATTCTCGCCCTTTGCTCTCGCTTTCAGAAAATCCTGATGACTTGGATGTGTTGACGCCTGCTCATCTGCTTTTGGGAGGCCCGCATCAGTCAATTCTCGAGCCTGACCTAACGAAGCTCAACTACAACCGTCTGGATGGTTGGCAGCGGGTCACTCAACTGCAGCAGACATTCTGGAGGCGTTGGCGCGAAGAGTATCTGACTCTTTTGCAAGAGCGCTCGAAGTGGCGTACGCCTGCGAAAAACCTCTGCGTCAACGATGTCGTCTTGGTGAAGGATGAGAATCTTCCTCCAATGCGTTGGCCACTGGCAAGAGTGGTCAACGTCGTCAAAGGCAAGGATGGAATATGCCGCGTTGCTGATTTGAAGACGGCTTCAGGAACCATCAGGAGGGCCGTTACTCGGCTGTGTTTGCTGCCCCTTGAGAAGTCAGTTGAAAGGCGAGCTTCCAACGGGGGGAGTATGTTCGGGCCAGCGGCTACTTAAGCGTCTATCATAATATTAAATGTAGCTGTAACTAGTTGTATAAGAGTATCGAAACCTAAGCTTATGTATGTCCCCAGCGTTCGGCAGTGCTGCTGCGCTCTCCCTGTTAAAGGGCGCTCTGCACCTGCTGCGTCGGCTCTTGCATTGATCGGCCGTCGTGGCCCAAGTAGTTCTATGCTAATCTCTCGCCGCATAGGTTGCATACTGAACCCCCGCTTGTGAACATTTATCTGGCTGGGCAAAAGAGCGAGCAATTGGCTTCAGCTAGCCGCCGGTATAAATAAACATTATAACGTTTAAATCAAAGTCTTTAACTGATTTGGATAAATATAGGTGCCAAAAAAGCTTGGCATCTCAAACAGTACATTTAACAAAATTAAAATCTTTATCTTGCCTTACTTTTCGCAAAATTACAATACTCGATAAAGTTTAACTTTTTATTTACCCTTCGAACAGAACCGAATTTTTCCGATAGATTAAATTTTTACCTTCGTACTCAAAAAGAGTTAAGGGGTATATTAGATTTGTGGTAAAAGTGGATGTGTGTAACGCAGAGAAGGAAACGTTTCCGACCCCATAAAGTATATATATTCTTGATCAGCATCAATAGCCGAGTCGATATAGCCATGTCTGTCTCGATGAGCGCCTAGATCTCAGAGACTATAAGAGCTAGGGCAACCAAATTTGGTTTCCAGACTTATGCACTGCAACAAGTGTATTTCAAAATTTCGCCCCGCCCCCTTCCACCACTTCAAAGGACGATAATCTATGTCAGGCACAATTTTATAGATACGATAAAACTTAAAACGCAGAGAATGACCAGATGGCCGAATCTGAATCAGATGTCGTTCAACCCGGACATCGTCCGCGACAGCACATTCCGCCACAACAGCAGAGACTCGAATGTTAACACATTCGAATCAACATCCGGCGAGTAGCTGAGCCAGCAGTCTCTGGTGTCGAAACACTATGTACACTTTATTTAAGGGAGAGGGCCCTGTTGTGGGCCAGGTACTAGTTGTGACCCACCCCCCCCCAAAATCTTGGACAGCAAGCAGGTGCTACTGATCTGAGTATTGGGAGTAATATTCGGTAACAATACGCAGTTTTTGTGCTAATACCGAAACAAATAGCTGCTTTGGCCTAGGTGCTGTGAGCATAATAAAAAAAAATGGGGAACAAAATCTTCAAGGTAAATTTTATTATTTTTCAAGTGCGAAAAAATGGATGTAAATTTTGTCCAAAAATTGTAGTATTTTCTTTTCCTTGTAGTGTGGTCATTGTAGTTTGTGAATTGTTTTCGTTTTTAGCCAAAATATATGCACAACATTTTTTTTTGGTTTTTTGGAAAAATTGTCTGTTTTGCCCGGTTATGTATTTAATGCGTGTATTTGGTTACGAAGCTGCATAATATTGTTGTATGTGTTCAAAAAGCTTTATTGTACATTTAACAAAATTGCAATCTTTATCTTGCCTTACTTTTCGCAAAATTACAATACTCGACAAAATTTAACTTTTTATTTACCCTTCGAACAGAACCGACTTTTTCCGATAGATTAAATTTTTACCTCCGTACTCAAAAAAAGTTAAGGGGTATATTAGATTTGTGGTAAAAGTGGATGTGTGTAACGCAGAGAAGGAAACGTTTCCGACCCCTTAAAGTATATATATTCTTGATCAGCATCAATAGCCGATTCTATTTCTATTTGTCTGTCTTGATGAACGCCTAGATCTCAGAGACTATAATAGCTAGAGCAACCAAATTTTGTTTCCAGACTAATGCACTGCAACAAGTGTATTTCAAAATTTCGGCCCGCCCCCTTCCACCACTTCAAAGGACGTCATAATTATCTAGCCCCCCGTCTTATGTATAAGAGTGGGATAGGTCTATTCTCATTAACCGTTAGGATTTTAGGATTACATTAGAATAAGATTGCATTCCCTTCTCTCTCATGCAAAGCTTAAAAAAAAATGTAAACAAAATCGGTCTAGTGCAGTGTTCCGCAAAGCGTGTGCCGCGGCACACTGGTGTACCGTGGTCATCGGCTGGTGTGCCGCGGAAAAAATATTAAATAGGAATACAGAGAATATAGTTAATTTATTATTCAACCAGTCAATCACAACTCTTGTACGAATAGTAACTAACAGTTAATTTGAATACAAATTATATTAAGAACATGACTTTAAATAGGAACAATTTTTATTAGGGTATTCATGTCAATAAGTAATGATATTTGAAATACATACGTATTAAAGCATGCATAAGTATGCATGTATGTATATGTACTCAGCAAACGAGCTGCCTGATATTTTGATTACCGAAACTAGGGTTGGGGCACGAAAATACTTTTGGTATTTAAGCTGTTATTTAATATTTAAAGCCAAGTACTCAGATCGAAAAAAACACCTCGCGAACAGAATCAGGGTTGATATTCGTATGAAACCGATAAGAAATGTTTTACGGAAAAAACTGTTTTCTAGGCTCTGTACGGAAGGCAATACTCAGATCAAAAAACAAAAAGGTCGGTATATACTGGAAAAGTATCCGAAGTATATGCTTGTTTTTTTGGTATGTTTCGACCCACCTCGAAAAATATATTTTTTTTTTTTTTGTTATTACGGGATTTTATTTATCGAATCTTCCCTATTAGAGACTTACGACAAGTATACAAATCTTAGCCTAATATATTTATTTAATTATTTACACTTAATTACTTAGAGTACGTCCCTAGCTAAGTATTATTGCTGGGTGGGAAGGTCTCTTCGCCGGAGTCGTGTATGGCTAGTGTGCCAAGTTAAAGACTGCGCAAGTCTATTAGGATGGGCTTGAAGCTTGGCCTGGTACTTTGCTTTCACTTTGGCAATTTCGTCTTTAACTGATCCTACATTTAAGTCTTTATGGATATTTTCATTCCGTATGTACCATGGTGGCCCAGTGATAGTTCTTAGTATCTTCGATTGAGCTCTCTGGATTATTTCTAAACTACTAACGCAAGCATTTCCCCATAGCTCGGAGCCGTATGTCCAGATGGGTTTGAGAACTGCATTGTACAAAAGTACTTTGTACTCCAGTTTTAGTGGTGAACGGGTGTTTATTAGCCAATGTAGATTACTAGCTTTAAATTTAAGTAGATTTCTCTTCGCTTCGATGTGCTTACGCCAAGTAAGCCTTCTATCCAGATGAACACCAAGGTATGTTACTTCGGTGGTTTGTGGAATGTTAATATTGTTCAGACATAATGGAGGGCAAGTTTGTCTGTTTAACGTGAAGGTGACATGCTTGCACTTTTGCTCATTTACATGTATCCGCCAGTCTGCTAGCCATTTTTCTAAGGCCACGAGATGAGATGATAAGTGTTCCGTGGCCCTTCTTGGGGACTTGGAGCGACTTAATATGGCAGTATCATCAGCAAATGTCGAAGTTGTTGTTAGGCTGTTTGTCGGTAAATCTGCTGTGAATATGATATACAATGTCGGTCCAAGCACGCTGCCTTGCGGTACACCAGCTTCAATTGGATGATATTCAGAGAGGAAATCTTTGCATCGTACTGCGAAACTTCTTTGCTGTAGGTATGACTCCATTATTCCATGGATGTTCTGTGGAAGTAATATTTTGATTTTGTGGATTAAGCCTTCTTACCAAACGCGGTCGAAAGCCTGTGCGACATCCAGAAAAACAGCGGAGCAATACTCCCGTCTTTCAAATGCATTTCGTATCTCAGAGGTTATACGGTTTACTTGTTCAATGGTTCCGTGTTTTTCGCGAAATCCAAATTGGTGAGTCGGGATGGCACCGTTGATGTGTAGGTGTTGTTTGATACGATTCAGGAGCAGCTTTTCAAATATCTTTGATAGGCAAGGCAGTAGGCTGATAGGTCTATATGATGATGGCTTGGACTTGTCTTTTCCGGCTTTATGAATCATTGTGATGACTGATTTCCTCCATTCTTGAGGATAATAGCCCCATTTCATCATGCTGTTGAATATCATAGTAAGGAAATACACTGCACAGCTCGGCAATTCTATGATCATTTTAGGAGAGATGAAATCGTGGCCCGGAGCTTTCTTTTGCTTTGAGATTTGGTCTTTAATGACCCTTGTGACTTCTCCTGATTGGAATATGATAGGCGAAGTAGCTTCGGGATTGTTGGTTGGTGGGAGCACAAAGCTATTCGTTGCTGGGTGCGGTTTGAAGACGTTTTCTAGATGGACGGCAAATGTATTTGCCTTCTCTTTGTTGCTGCGAGCCCACTCTCCTGTTTGTGTACGCAAAGGTGATTCACTCTCGATTGGTGGGCATACGCCTGATTTTGCTTTCCACAGTGGGAATCGTTTGCTAGTTGGGGAGAGTTGCTCCATATAGGATATTTGAGCTCGGTTTTTTTCATATTCTAGGGCTCTGCGTAGTAGGTGGTTGGCTATTTTTAGCCGCTCTTTCGATGCAGGTGATCTGTGTGCTTGCCACTCTCGGCGAAGCCTTCTTTTATCGAGTAGCAGCACTTCAATGTGCCTAGAAATACGACTGCTGTTGGAAAGTTTATTAGATGCTAATATTGGTGTTGAGTGTTTTGCCGCCAGTGACATTGAGGAAACCAATGCTTCGACTGACCTATCAATGTCATCTTTACAATTAATGTTTGGGCAGCTATCAATATGAGAGCTTATGTACTTCCTGTATTTGAGCCAATCTGTTTTGCTAGAAGCTAGAAAGTGTGGGCGTTCCGGAAGCTGTGGATGGTCGTAAAGATGAAGTAGAATGGGCGAGTGATCCGATGATAGATCTGTTAAGTGATCTACATTAATCTGAGCTTGCAGGACCCTTCGTGTAACTGCAAAATCAATCAAGTCGGGTTGCTTGTTTGGATCTGTGGGCCAATATGTGGGCTTGCCCGGAGAGATAAAGTCTAGCTTGTTTCGTGGGGTTATTATAGCGTTATATAGTTGTCTTCCTTTCGGGTTGGTAAGTCTAGATCCCCAATGGGTGTGCTTGGCATTGTAGTCACCAGCTGCTATAAATCGGTCACCTAGTAGGTCGAAGAATGTTACAAATTCTGTTTCGGAAATGCAGAAACGTGGTGGGCAGTATACTGCGGCTAGGTTTAGGTAGCCGCTCTGAATTTCAATATGAATTGCTGTTGCCTGTAGATAAGGTGTAGCAAATGAAGGCAATGGATAATGCCTAATGCGATTCTTGATCAGAACGCCAGTACCTCCATGGGCCTTACCATCGGGATGATTTGTCGCATAGAAGTTATAGCCATCGAGGTGAAAATAGTTTTTATTTGTTAGGTGAGTCTCTGATATGAGCATGGCGTCAATGTCGTGTTGAGCGAGGAACTGTGCTGAGAAATGAGATTTGCATTCCAGAAACATATATTAAGACAGGACATTTAAACAGATTTCTGTTTGATTAGGAGCTCCAGGAGGAGATTTTGGTTGCGCATAAGCTCCTGCATCGTTTGTTGTATTGCTACCATTGTATTTGTTATAGTTACCAGCATTGACTCAATTCCACTCGGCAATTGGGATGGATTAGCAGGGGTATGTTGGGCAGAGATTTCTGGGATCTGATTTGATGCCTGATTCTGCATTATTCCAGCTGTGGTTGGTTGAAGTGTCGGCTTAGAGACTGAGGCGTACGACCCGTTGTTGTAACTTAACGCCTGAGCAAAAGAAACTCCTGGAGTCGTAGTTGATGGTATATATGTTAAGTTTTGTCGGACGACCGGGTTTCGAGCTGCAGTTATTTGTTGGTTTAGGCGATTTTTCAATTCTTTATAGACAGGACAACCTCTATAGTTGGCAGTATGGTTTCCCCCACAGTTGCTACATTTTTTGGCATTTTTTTCCTTATTTACGGGGCAGGCCTCAGTGAGATGAACATCACCACAGGCAACGCAGACTGCCCGTAGAGTGCAATAGGTTTTCGTGTGTCCAT